TTTCGTTCATTTCGTTTAAACTCATTTTAAATCATTGAATTGTTCCTAACAAATGATAAATACACGAGATTAAACTATAATTTATCAATAGTAATATAAAATATCCTAATTTAATGATGTAGATAAGTGTACAAATTTCACTAATCAAGTTTTATAACTCTTCTTTTGCTTTTCTATTATACTCATTATGCTCTTCTATTTATTAAAAAATAGGATAACTTGCAACACAAGTTGATTGCAACTTGTCATATCATAAGTTCATAACCAAGCGTTCGTGCACGAGCATATATCTGCCTCAGTTGTCAAATATATAAAAGATGATTATTTCTCGGCACTTTAGGAAAAATATAAATTTCAATGAATTTTGTGGATTGGAATAGATTTCCAAAAATTTCATAAAATTCTCATAATTGTTATTTTTTTTTTTAAAACTTGAAATCTATTCAAATCTTTTCAATTATTAAACGCATGTTTGGTGCATATTTTGGGCCATTTTTAGACATTATTGGACCATTGCACCGTGCATGCAAAATTCAAGGGTAGAGTCAGAGTGGAAGAAAATTGAAGACCCATTTATTGTGCAGAGGTCTGAAAAATACTAAAAATGAAGGGGAGGGAAGCACGTGAAGCTTTTCTTACAATTTTGGGCAAAATATTTGAGGAAATATTTTTTTTCTCTATTGGAACACATTACACATTCACGGGTTGTCGTAGTATTTTTTTGAGATTTTGAGCAAAAAATGAATCATTTATACTCATTTTCTTAAACTCATTTGTACTCAAACTCATTTTTAAACATATGTTTCATATACACAACTTCTATCAACTATTTAATCACATATTTTATCAACTTTATTTAAAATTCTCGAAGAATTTTATTTTTAGAAACATGACCTAAACGCACGAAATAATAAGTCCCAATTTGAAACCTCAATTTTTTTTTTGATAATTTACTTCCCACATTCATTATCAACTACACATTTTATGAAATTTACATTTTTTTTTTATCAATTTTCTTTCATGTAATTTATTAGTTATTATTAAAATCTATTAAAATTGTCGTTTTAGGTAACACAAAACAGTACATGTACCACGTTGCATCATTTTTTATCGTAGTTGAATAATTTCTTTGTCTTTTGACTATTTTAAGAGGGTGTTTGAAACCCATTTTTTGGAGAATGAAATTTTTGGAATAGTGATTGATGGGAAATTATGTGGTGGAAAAGTTATCAAAACTTTTAGATTTGTGTGTAATATTATTTTATTAGAAGAATACGTGGTTGAAATGAAAAGAGAGAAAAAAATGAGAATTAGAATTAGATAAAAATGGGTATCAAACAGGGCCTAAGACTAAATGAGTGCTTGGATACAGAAATGGGTAATGAAAGTGGAAAAAATAGTGAAATTTGTATCAAATTAAAGGGCGTCTTCAATTGAAACTGTGAGAAATTTAAAAATCTTTATAAATTTAGGTGTATCTAATTTAGAGGGGGTGTCCTCGATTAGAATTGTGATGAATTTTAAAAATCTTTCTAAATTTAGGTGTTTTCAATTGAGATTTTAATG